TAGGCTCTTTGCAGACACAACCAAGTTACCACGAGCCACACCCGGCTGGGGTGGGTCCTCCTCCACGGTGAGCGGCGTCCTCGGGGGGAGGGAGGTCTGCCACAGCGCGCGGAAGGCGAAGCCACGTGAGGGCAGAGGCACAGGTCGCGGGGCCGCGGCCGCAGGCGCCGCGAGGGGCGGGGCCGGACCCTCCTGGAGGCTGTGGCCCTGCGCACCCCTGGCCGCTGGCCTCCTGGCCTCCTGGCCTCCGGACGGAGGGAGGGCGCCTTCCCAGGCGTTGCAGCCGCGGCAGCTAATCCGGGCGGCGCTGAAGGAACGACCGGCCCCCCGTGAAGTGCGGGACAGGTGCGCAGGGAGGGCGACGGGAGGCGGGCGCCCTGGGGCTGTGTGCACATGGCACGCCCCTCCCCTGCAGCCAGTGAGGATAGATGGTGCCTCTTCTGAGAGAACCCATCAAAATGTGGAAGTGTAGGGGCGCCTGGGGGGCTCAGTGGTTAAGCGTCCGACTTCGGCTCAGGTCATGATCTCGCGGTTCGTGGGTTCGAGCCCCGCGTCGGGCTCTGTGCTGACAGCTCGGAGCCTGGAGCTGCTTCAGATTCTGTGTCTCCCTCTCTCTCTGACCCTCCCCTGCGCGCGCTCTCTCTCTCCCTCTCTCTCAGAAATAAATAAAATATTAAAGAATTTTTAAAAAGTAGTGAAAAGCGACTCTCCGTAGGCCTGCAGTCTAACCACGTGGGTATGAAGTGTGAACACAGGCTTGTACCGGCAGGTCCACGGGATCCCCGCACCCTGGGTCCTCGCCCACGGGGATCCTCGCCCACGGGATCCCCGCCCCCTGGGTCCTCGCCCACGGGGATCCCCGCCCCCTGGGTCCTCGCCCACGGGGATCCCCGCCCCCTGGGTCCTCGCCCACGGGGATCCTCGCCCATGGGATCCCCGCCCCCTGGGTCCTCGCCCACGGGATCCCCGCCCCCTGGGTCCTCGCCCACGGGGATCCCCGCCCACAGGATCCCCGCCCCCTGGGTCCTCGCCCACAGGGTCCCCGCCCACGGCCCTAGGACCCGGGCCAGACGCCACCCAGCTTCCGGGCCCAGCCAGCGGGCGGGTGGCGCCCAGAAGCCGGGAATGGTGGGAAAGCCGCACCCTCCGAGGCAGAAGTAAATCAAACGACGTTTCTGCTCTGGGCTCCTGCCACACTGTCGCCGTCCCCTACACCACAGGCTCCAGGGCCACGCCAAGCTGCGTCCACGGCCCTGACCACGCATCCCATCTCTGATCTCTGGTGTCAAACTGGAAGATGTCGTGGCCGCGTGGGGTGGGGTCCGTCCCCCAAAAGTCATGTCGCCCCGAGCCCGTGAACGTGACTTGACTCGGACATAGGCTCTTTGCAGACACAACCAAGTTACCACGAGCCACACCCGGCTGGGGTGGGTCCTCCTCCACGGTGAGCGGCGTCCTCGGGGGGAGGGAGGTCTGCCACAGCGCGCGGAAGGCGAAGCCACGTGAGGGCAGAGGCACAGGTCGCGGGGCCGCGGCCGCAGGCGCCGCGAGGGGCGGGGCCGGACCCTCCTGGAGGCTGTGGCCCTGCGCACCCCTGGCCGCTGGCCTCCTGGCCTCCTGGCCTCCGGACGGAGGGAGGGCGCCTTCCCAGGCGTTGCAGCCGCGGCAGCTAATCCGGGCGGCGCTGAAGGAACGACCGGCCCCCCGTGAAGTGCGGGACAGGTGCGCAGGGAGGGCGACGGGAGGCGGGCGCCCTGGGGCTGTGTGCACATGGCACGCCCCTCCCCTGCAGCCAGTGAGGATAGATGGTGCCTCTTCTGAGCAACTGTGTGAGAGAACCCATCAAAATGTGGAAGTGTAGGGGCGCCTGGGGGGCTCAGTGGTTAAGCGTCTGACTTCGGCTCAGGTCATGATCTCGCGGTTCGCGGGTTCGAGCCCCGCGTCGGGCTCTGTGCTGACAGCTCAGAGCCTGGAGCTGCTTCAGATTCTGTGTCTCCCTCTCTCTCTGACCCTCCCCTGCTCATGCTGTCTCTATCTCTCTCTCAAAAATAAATAAAACATTTTTTTAAAATGTGGAAGTGTAACTTTAGTAGAATTCCCACACGCGAGTGATCGGCTCTGGCGTCCTCCCCTCCCCCGGTCCGCCCGCAGAGGCTTGGCCTGCGGGGGGGGGGGGGCAATCCATCCAATGCAGAAAATTATTCAATAGCTTTTACAAGGATGAAAGTTAAAGGTGTAGGACTTTTTGTGTTTTGTCTTTTAGGCCAAGGCCGGCGGAGCCCCAGCAGGCGCCCCGCGGGGACCGGCCTGGGCCTGCTCTGAGCCCCTCACGGGCGCTGGCCTGGCTCTGAGACTAACTCCTCGGTTCTTCAACCTTCAGTACGGACCTCACACCTTGCTCTCCCGCAAACTGTTAACTTGAGAAGAATTTGCAAATGAAAAGGCGGAAAAGAGAAGAGCTGTGAGTGGTGTCTCTTAACCTTCCTTTGAAGGACAGCCCTTTCCAGGGTCACGACCGGCCCCAGATCTGCCTGGATCGTCCTTCTGCGGTGCGAGCGAGCGTCCGGCCGGCGGTGGCCTGTGGTTCCTGCACGGCCGTTTCCTGACGACCTGCGGCTTGGGGCTGAATTAAATATGAAGCAAAGCTCCAGAATTACCTAGGAGGAAACCACCGGCAACAGTGCATCGATTATGTTAGGCTGTTCAATAATTGATCTGCTCCCCTCGGGTCCGCATGTCGTCTGTTCGTGCGTCACCCCGCAGACGCCTGGGGAAGGGGCTTCAGCTGCGGGCCCTCACCTGCCGCGCGGGAGGACGACGCTGCCCCTCTGCGTCTCCGTCTCCTGATAACCGGGCAAGAGCCCCTAGGCACACCTCTTCGTGGGGCAGAAAGGGACTAAATTTGTGCTCCCCTCGGCGGGGCGGCCATCCCAGGATCGGGGCGCGGCCGTCCAGCCCTTCCGGGCACCGCGGGGCGCCCCGAGGCCCTAGGACCCTGGCGAGCTCGGGGCTGACCGGGGTCTCGCTTCCACCGCCCGGGGCTTGACGGTCACTGAGGGCCGCGAGCTCAGCGCCCCCCGGCGTGGCCCCCACGGGGGCTCAAACCGCAAATGCTGGCTCCTTCCTGCCTCTTCAGAGACGTCCACGCGGAGCACCGCCCGAGGCTGAACCCAAAGCCGGCAGAGCAGCTCGGGCCCTGGGCTCCTGCCTGGGGCCGGTTCCCACGAGGCCGCGGCAAGTCGCCCGCTGAGCGGCCCCAGCAGCAGGCGGAACTCGGGGTCACCTGTTGCGTGTGTGGTTTCGTGTCCATGCCGTTGGCGAGGGGACGCCGGGCTTCCTCGTTCCATCGGGGACGGGCAGGGCCGCTGCCCTTGCTGCTTCCCTGCTGGGCCCCAGAGCAGAGCAGCAGGCGGGGCGCCTCCCACTCGGGGGGGCGGGGGACGGGGCCCAGCTGCGCTCCCACGGGGATTCCGCACACCAGACAAAGGTGCGAGGCCTGGGGGGGGGACGGCGGCTCCTCGCGGAGGTGAGGCTAATCCAGCCCTGGGAAAGGGGGGCGGGGCTGCGCGCTTGCATCTGCGGGGTGCTGGGGGGGCTGTGAGGGCCGCAGGGGGGACTGGGGGGGCCCTAGGCATCCACCGGGGCCGGCGGGGGAGGGGAGGGACCACCCGGCCCGCTGCCCTCCCGCCGGATCCGTCTCCACATCCGCGAGCTGCAGGACCCTGTGGGGCCCCTGATGCCGGGCCACCGCGGCCCCGCGGGCGGGATACGGGGCACAGTGCGCCGCAGGCCACGGAGGGAGGAAAGCCCCGTTTCACGCTTCATCCCCGCGTGTGTCCATCCGTCCGTCTTCCCGTCGCGCACGAGCCCCTCTCAGGCAGCGGCCAAGAGGTGAGCGCTGGGTCAGCCCCGGGCCGGGGACACGCGCGCCGGGGCCCCCATCCTCCAAGGCCCCCGCTGTGCCCTCGGGTCTCGCGTCCGCTGGCGCCCCCCTGGGAAGCCCCGCGGACACTTCAGTTCTGCGTGGCAGCTCCTCGTCTGTAACGGAGGCAACACGAGACACGGGCCACGTGCGGGGCAGAGCAGTGACTGGCCACGCGGCCGCCGTCCCGGGAGAGGACCACGCGGCCCAGCGGGTGGGCTGTGCGGCCCCTCCCGAGGGGAGGTCGTCACCGCCGCAGCGCCTGGGGGACCCGCCCCCACGGGAGGATGAGCCACGTGGGTGGGGCTGTCCCCAGCAGGCGGGGCCGCGCTTCCCAACCCCTCCCCACAAACAGACCACGTCTCAGGCTCCTTAAGGAGAAACATTCTCACGAAGCAGGAACCTGACACAATTTCTCCTGCTGGCGAGTGGTCTGGCTCGCCCTGCGCCCCTGCCTCAAGGGCACAGCTCTCCCCCTTCGCTCGTGAAACCTTGACCCCTGCGCCCATCTTCTGTGCCCTGTTCAGCCAAACGCAGCCCCACAGACTCCCTGTGACCGGCCGCTGTGCCTCACGACAGTCCATGAGTGGCTTCCGTCCTCGGGCCCGGCCCACGGCCAGATCGTGGGGGACATTGAGGGGCAGCTGCTGACTCGCTGGCTGGGCTTCCGACTCCTGGTTGTGGCTCAGGTCATGATGTCATGGTTTGTGGGACTGAGCCCCACGTCAGGCTCTGTGCTGACAGCCTGGAGCCTGCGTGGGGTTCTCTCTCCCTCTCTGCCCCTCCCGCACTGGTGCGTTTTCTCTCTCTCTCTCTCTCAAAATAAATAAAAACACTAAAAAATATTATGGAGAATATGTCAAGTAACGAAGGCAAGCAAACGAAAATGCCCAGGGTAGAATGCTTACTGCCCAGGAAAGAGTTTCCCCATCAGGTCCTCTGGTCAAACTCTCCAGGCTGCCGAGGCTCTTCCCAGTCTTGCCTCAGTTTCCCCACTTATAAGAGGAAGAGCAGGACTGATAACCTCCAGTTCGAGCTGGGTCTGGAGCAGCCAGAGTCCCACATGGGGAAGCACCTGCTCCGTGGGGCCGCCTGAGGATTCGTGTTAGGATCAGCCATGCTCCCGTCGTTGGCTGGAGAAGCCTGGAAAGATGTGGCTGTTCCCGTAAGGCGGTGGGGCACTGCCCCCCCACCCCTACTTGAGAGCAGAGCCTTCATTTTCGAGCTAAGATTTAACTCTTCACTCACATGGGCGATCCTCTAAGGCTCACAATCCCTGCTCCGAGTGAGCGCCTTTCTCCCTTTTCCTTCTACCTGGGTCACGTGCTGGGCAGCGGAGCTCCCCGCATTTTCTGGTTGTTTTCTTGTTTGTTTGGGGCTGAGGTTTGCGAGAAACGGCTGGTTTAGAGCTTAGCAGTGGGGAACAGACCTGCTCTGGGCAGCATCCGAGCCCCACGCCTGGCAAATAGATGGGAAGCTGTTTCTCTTAAGAGCTTTGAAATTCAAAGGGCACTTCGAGGTAGAACTCAAAGAACAAACAAGAACTGCTCGTACTACCTTTGTTCAACACGTTAAGCACCGCAGAGTGGCCACTCGGGTCTTATGAGGAAGGAACGAGTCGCCCTTGGAGGGGGAGTGGAGTGTTCGTTTCCCCATTTTGTGCAGGAGAAGTGGAAGGCCAGCAAGGTGAGGTGATGTGCACGGGGGACCCCATGAGCCCAGGGCTGGAGTCCAGATTGGATCGCAAGCTCCCCGCGCTCTGTCCACTGAGGCCCCAAGATGTCGGCGTCATGAAACATGACTCTCTGGGACCCAGGTAACCCACCACACGGCGCTATTGCCAATCCGCATCTGAATGCTCGTCAGGCAGAGAAGAGCTTGCGGCAGGGACCGGCATCTTGCCATTCGAAACTTGAAATGACCTCCAACGTCACGACCTCGGCCCTTGGAGTTCGCTATCAGCAGCTTCTTCCTCTGTAAACCCCTGCTCCTGATGAAATGCAGACCTTATCAGGTACATAAGGAGGCACGGCTGTCACCATAGGAGGATCAGAAGAGCAGAAATGAACACGAAAACTGTTGCAAAATACCCTCCTTGACAGTCATGTCTTATTCATAAACGTACCTCATCAGCACTTAGACCACAAATTTTGTACTATAAGTGGAATTTCTAAAAGAGTCTAACTTACATTTTCTTACTTCAACCAGCTCTTTATGAATAATGCATCACTTACCATTCAGGAAGCTTATCAAGTCTGACTTAGAAAATGAGAGAGTAAATTTAGCCAAATAAAAGGAAAGGAAAAACCCTAAATCAGTCCAGTGCTCGAGATCGCCAATAACAGGAAAATATTGCAAGCACGTAAAAACTGACCCAGAGAAAGTCCTCTCCCGTCTGGTACACGTAGAAGGACATGGCATCATTTATGGAGAACTTCACTCGGCGACATTGGTTTGCTGTGTACGAAACGTTCCCTTATCCTTGCTCCTGGCTGACACCAGGTGCTCCAGGCCCCATACGCTCTCTTGAGCTGTCGGTACAAATCCGTGGGAGACGGCAGGGGGCTTTTAAAGTCTGCCAGGGCTGCTTTGGACATTAGAGATCTGCAAAGCCCCAGACCTTACGTGGGAAACACAGGTGCCCAGTTCCACCTTGTCTGCCAGGAGACGGGCTCTGGACGAGAACGCGGCCCCCGCGTGTGTCGAGCCCCTTGCAGGCCCAGCCGCTCTCACGAGAACCTCAACCCCTGGTCACTCGGGAAGGAGAGGGTGTGGGCTAGCGGGAGATGGAGGCAGGAATGAACAGAGAGAAAGGAGGCACCGGGCAGCGTGTGTCCACCGGGAGCCACCTGTCCTCCCTGCCAGGAGAGAGGAGACACATCTGACTCACAAACCAGTGACTTTCCACGGTGGACGCAGAGAACGGGGCCCAGGATGCACCCCCGTGGCTGGAGGGGAAGAGAGAAAAAGAGAAAACCACAAGGAACAATGGAAGCAGGGAGGGTAGGGAAGTTTCCAACCAAAATGATTGAATTCGTTTTCATTCTCTTACGTTGAACCTTACGTTTAAGCACACTCGACTCCATTTTCACAGGTAAAATGGGTCAAATGGAGGCAATTTCACATCGTCCAGGCTAACATGTGGTTTGTGGGCTCAGCTCCGGCTCCAGCTCACGTCTGTTACAGCCCTTGGCTCAGGGGTCCGCCCACTTTAATGTCTTAACTTGCTACTTGCTTCATGAGAGATGTTGGTTGTTAATGGCATCTTTGCAAGAAAGTCAATGGCATACCTGTGGGGGGAGGCACCCAGGAGGAAAGTCTGTCACCCCCATGCCAAGCAGTGAGGGACAGGCTGTTGGGGTGAGAGTTTCGTCCAGAGACAAGCCCAGGGCATGGCCGCACTGTATTCATTCAGTAAATATGTTTTGAAATGAAATGTGCCAGGCACTGCCAAGTTTGGGGATAGTGAACAAGACAGATATCTCTGCCCCCTGACTTTTCATGACCTAAAATTTAAAAATAGGCAGTGGTTTCTTGAATATGACACCAAAAATGTAAACAACCAATGAAAACGCAAATTAGACTTCACTGAAACTGAAAAGTTTGTATTGCAAAGGACGCCATCAGGAAAGCAGAAAGACAGGGGCGCCTGGGCGGCTAGGTCCCCAGGTGTTCGGCTTCAGCTCAGGTCATGGATCTCATGGTTTGTGAGTTCGAGCCCCGCATCAGTCTCTGTGCTGACAGCTTGGAGCCTGGAGCCTGCTTTGGATTCTGTGTCTCCCTCTCTCTGCCTCTTCCCACTCACACTCTGTGTCTCTCGCTTAAAAATAAACATTAACAAAAAAATTTTTTTGAAAGAAAGCATAAAGACAGCCTACAGAATGGGGGGCATATTTGCAATTCATGTGTCTGGTGAGAACATCGCATCTGGAATGTATAAAGAGCCTCACAACTCGGCAATACAAAGGCAGCCCATTTTTTAAAAGAAAATGGATTTAAAGAGACATTTCTTCAAAGGAGACACACAAATGGCCAAGAAGCACATGAAAAGATGCCCAACATTATTAGTCATCAGGGAAATTGAGATCAAAGCCACAAGGGCACATCACTTCACACCCACTAAGAAGGATGTAATAGAACAGATAGATAATGATGCATGTTGGTGCGGACGTGGGGAACCCTATGGGCTACTGGCGGGAATGTGCATGCAGTGGTGGAGCCACTGGAAAAACAGCCCGGCGGCTCCTCAAAGTGTTCAACATTGAGTTACCACGTGACCCAGCAATTCTCCTAAGTATCTACCCAAGGGGAATGAAAACATATGTCTGCATGAAAACATATGTCCGCACAAAAACTTGTACGTGAACGTTTGTAAAAGCATTATTCATAGTAGCCAAAACATGGAGCCAACCCAAGCATCCATCCACTGATGAATATGTGCCCATAAAATGTGGTTCATTCTTACAATGGACTATTATTCAGCCTTAAGAAGGAAGTAGTGATACAAAGGAGATGAGTCATGAAAACTTTGTGCTACGTGAAAGAAGCCGGTCCCACATATCATAAGAGTCCACTTACGTGAAATGGTCATAGTTGGCAGATCCATAGAGACAGGAAGTAGACTCACGGTTGCCTAGGCTGGGGTGGGGGAGACCTGCTTGGGGGTAGAGGGCTTCATTTGGGGGTGACAAAAATGTTCTAAACTTTGTGATGGTGGTTGTACACTCTGTGAATATATTAAAACCATTGAATTATATACTGTAAGTGGGTGAATCTTATAGCGTGTAAATTACAATTCAACAAAAATGGTGCCTATAAAAGATACAGAATCCAAAAGTTTGTATTTGGAGAAGGAAAAAAAAACCACCCATCATTTCATAATGTAAAGTGCAGAAAATAAAGTTCAATAAAATTATCTTGCTTCTAGCTTACATTAAATCATTTGAAAAGGATTCTGCGCTGTTCATCAAAGCCACACCCGGCTTCCAAATGCCGGGAGATGCGGTACAGGCAGGTTTGCTGAGTGCACGCGGCTTGTGCGACGGGGACACACCACTTGGAAGAGAGGATGGAAGTGTCACAAGGCCACTTTTGATCTTTGACTCTAGGTTGCTTCGTTAAACTTCATTACGGCTTAAAACATATTTTAAGGGCTGGAGTTAACCTTACTGTTTTAGTAGCACATAATAATTATTGACCCCCCCAAAAGTGTTTCATGGTTTTCAGAGCTGCCTGGAGGAGGCTGGACTAGAACGTCCCCCTGGGCCCTGCTTTGAGGCGCAGAGCAAGGGCACGGTGGTTTGTGGGGAATACAGTCTGCTTCGGTCTCAGCCCCAGGATTCTCGGTCCGGGAGATTTGCGTCATGAGAAACTGCAGTTGCGCCTGCTCTTTCTTTTACACGGGCTGCTTACAGGACTAAGCGAGCATTTCGGCACAACTCGCCTGGGAAAGAGCCGGTCAGTGAGTGCTGGTGACCGTGGCCTGGCTGTGCCTCGGACAGGCGCCCGCTGGGCGTGGGGAGGGGGAGGAGGAGGAGGAAGGAAGGGCTGCCCGGCTGTCTTCCCGGCCTGACGTCCCACAGGCCACGCAGCCTGGGGGAAGGGGCGTTGTCTTCCAGGGTTCCCTTGAGCAACAGCACGAGGACCTGGGTGTGTTCATCGGATCATTCTGGAAGGATTCTATATCCGGTTCCTTCTCTGACGTACCTGCCTCGTCGGCAGCACAGGCTCCCGTAGGAACTGTTGGCGCACTTCCGGCAGGAAACCTGCACGGAGTGGCGCAGGGGTCAGTGAGGTCAGCACTTGGGCGTGGCACAGATCGCCGGGACGGGGAGAGCCCACGACAGCGCCTGACACACGAGGCCGTTCCCTACCTGACGCAGGCGCCACGACAGATACATGAAGGAGGGTTTGGGTCATTCAGCACATGGTCTGGGGACAGTGGCTGGTGGCCGTGGGGGAAGGGGCACCACAGCCTCGTTGCTCCACAATCTAAGTGAACACAAGATAAAGTGAAATTTTAAAACAAAGCCACAAAGGGGCTCAGTCAGACAATCATCTGACTTGATTTCAGCTCAGGTCATGATCCCAGGGTCATAGGTTCAAGCCCCATGTCGGGCTCTGCACTGAGTGTGGAGTCTGCTTGGGATTCTTTCTCTCTCCCCCCTCTGCCTCTCCCCCCCATAAAAATAAAATTAAATAAAGAATAAATTAAATAAATAAAATAGAGCCACAAAACACCAGAAGACACAAAAGGAAAAACATAAACTCAATCACAGAAACTTAACATTTCTAAGCATTAAGGAAATAATAACACATGAAGGGAAAAGACAAATGTCAACCCGTCCAGTATTTGCAAGACACAGGATGAGAAGCTAGTACTGATGCAGGACATCTTACAGGAGAAAAGGCACAATTAGCAAAACCGTCTGAAAGAGTATGTCCGAAATAAATGAATAAAATAGCCAATTGACCAACTTCACTGTGAATTAGAGAAAGATCGACCCAAATAACGATTACATAGTATCGCACACCTGTCCCAGCCCTCCAGCCTCCGAGAGGGGACGCTTGGGGACCAGGGGCGTAGGCACAGCACAGCTTCGCTCTGGACTGTGTGTAACGGAAGCAAACGCCCACAGGGACAGCTCTTGGGGCGGATTTCGCACAAACAAATGCGGTTCGGCCAGAGACTAAGTTCCTGCGCAGCCTTTAGAGACAATGATGTAGAGCGACAATTGCGTTAAGATGTCCCAGTGAGGGAAGCAGCAAGTCAGAGAGTATGTGGAGGCAAAGGAACACACACACACACAGACACACACGCACGCACACGTACACGCGTGCACACGCACACAAACGTGCACACGCACGCATGCGCACTGGGGAGGGGAGGGGGATTAGGCGCTGGGGACAGTCGAGCGGTGGAGGGAGAAGCTGTCAGGGCTCACTTTCTACCCTTCCATAGTATTTTCATGTTTGGGTGGTAATGGAAGCCCAGAGAGAGCAGGGGCCTCACAGACACCCTCACATGGGCCTGAGGGGGGGTTCTGGTCAGTTCACGTCCTGCAAAGCAGAGATCAACGCTCACCTCTCTGAGGGTCTCCCGTTCAGGAACAGTCCCCACGATCTGTAGCTTTTTGTGTCCTGACCGTCATTCCCCCCACTCATCCCATAGCCACCACCGTCGGCTCCTCCAGCCGCTCGAGGACGGTCCCCTGTGCCCAGCTGTCTCGCAGACGTGGCTTCACCACCCAGGGAGGAGGGGGCCCGGCCAAGGGGAGGCCTGCGTCCCCCCCCATCCCCTCCAGGGGCCAGGCTGGGGGCCGTCCGGGCGCCCCTGTGAGGTGAGGGGACGGACTCGCCGTCTCCTGACAGCCCTTCTGGCCGGACGGCAGGGGAGCCCGAGGGCCGCTCAGCTCGAACTGCTGGACGCAGTGCTCCCCACACAGGCTTCCCGACGGAGCCCCCCCCCCGGGTTTCTGTGCCGGTCTGGGTTGAGCGGAAGGGGTGCCGAGTGACCCCACACGGGCAGAGCCTGCCGAGAGGGGCGCCCGCACGTGGCAGACACTGGGAACGGGCGCGGATCGGACCTCACAGCTTCCCGGCGACGGTGCAGCGGCCACGGATCCCACCGCTGGTGCTCCGGGGGGTGTGAAGACTGGTCTGCAGCAGAGGAGCCTCTCAGAAGGACGAGGGACCCTCAGGACCCCTCCCCTGCACCCCTGACCCTGCGGCCGCGCCCCTCCTGGGCGGCGATGTCAGGCAAAGTAGCGGGTGCACGGAGGGCGCGGGAACAGCCCTGCAGTGACTTTGACCCGAGAGCTCGTCCTTCCCTCTGCTCCCCCCCTTCATGCCGGGCCTCCAGGCTCAGGGCCCGGCTCGAGCCTCTGCACGCTCTCTGCCGGTGCCCTTCCCTTCCCCCCAGCAGGACAGGGCACTTCTGTTGCCGCCCACCCTCTTCCCCTCCCACGACTTCCAGGGTCTCAGGGAAAGGCACCTGTTGTCAAACAGGAGGAAGCAAAGAGCCCCGAACGGCCTAGAAATGAGCTGCCTCTGCTGAGGCCGAGGGCTGGACCCGAGTGGTCCGCCACGTGGTCTGTCTGCCGCGGGCCGGGGCCGGGGTCGCGCACCCGACAAGCCAGCTGAAAAGCGCCCACTATACACGACTCTTACTTTCAAGTGTTCCAGGAGGGAAAGATTGTTTTCATTAATACAAGGAAGAAAACAGTCAAACAAAATTGGGCGTTTTGAGAGTCGTGACCGAACACAACTGCACAGCTTCCCGCCGCGTGCTCCCGTGAGAAACCCAAGAGCCCGGGTGTCCGTTTGTCAGAGCAGGAGGCTCTGGGAGCAGAGTGGGAAGCGTCCGATTCCACGTTGGCCGTTTTCAGAGCAGCATGTGGTCACTGGGGTCAGCCTTGGCGTGGTCGCAGGTGCCACGGGCTAGAAGGGGTCACGGAGATCTCCCGCCGCTCTCGGCGCGCACAACGCTGTCCTTTTCTCAGGCGCCTTCGCTGCGCCCCCACACACGCCCGCGGATACCTTCTACCCCACTGCCTCAGACCCTCCTCGCGAGACCCCGCCAAACACGTCGATAGTCTCACGTCGGCGCGGGAAAGCTCCAGACTGCGGGTGCTTTTATCGAAGCCAGTCTGGAGAGGACGCGGAACCGCCGGAGCCCCTGAACCAGCGGCCGCCGGGGCGGGCCTCTCGCCCTCAGGGTCTGGTCTTGAAAGCATGGGGCGCATCCATGTCAACCCCAGAGGAAAGGTAATAGGTTTATTTTAAACATTTCCCCGAAATCAAACAGGTATCCCACACCTGTTCTAGTAAATTATTCTCGGAAGAGCCACGAATCAGGGTCTGGGACGATGGCTCCGTTGTTTCGGCACCAAGTGCTGTGTTGGCCACACTGTCTGCACACGGTGTCTGTGACAACGCAACCTCCGGGTCAGTAGGAGAGCGGC